TTCATCCGAGGTGACATATTGGCGTCGAAATCGTTCGACGAGGATCCGATTGTTTCGACCCGACCCGAAGAAGGCCGGTCGGTGGCGGTGGCGCTGTTGTTATAGCCGGTTGAATTTCTGCCCATCTGATCACGCGCACGTTGGCGTGCGCGAATAGCCTCGGTCATAATTTGAAACTTCATCCGAGGTGACATATCGGCGTCCACATCGTTCGACGAGGATCCGATTGTTTCGACCCGACCCGAAGAAGGCTGGTTGGTGGAGGTGGGTTCTTGGTTCGAATCAAGATCCATCATCGTATACAATACACAGGTTTTACAAGAAGACGTTCTGAAATATATGGGGGTATATGTATATATATATATACATACACAAACTTAGTTATATAAGGAAAGATAAAATAGAGTCCTAATTACGATAAGGAAATTTTTTAAGAGAAGTGGGCTAATTAAATTCTAACAAAATATGGAAACAAATTAATGACAACCCTAAAACAGCTAAATTACACGGATTTTAAATTAATTCAATTTTAATTAAATAAATAAATTTCTAATAAATATTAAATAGTAACATCTGATCGTGTTTAAATTCACACAATCTGCTACTTAAGCTTTTGTTTGAGAATCGAATATCAACGATCATTCAAGAACTTAACTATTAATTCAATCGATTTAATAATTAAGCTCTCGAAAACGAGCTTAATTAGGTCGTGAGATTAACATCAGGGAATTAAATTCAAATCACCAAATCCAATCAGATCGAATTAATCACATCATAAAAAAAAAAAAAAAAAAAAAAAAATTATCCAAGAATGGTCGATTTACGAGGAAGAACATAAGGGAACGAAACCTAAAAGAAGACGAGATCTTTAAATCTTAAATGTTAATACAATACAATGCGGCAGGCATGAAAAAGTAAAAACATACGACGAAAAACGAAGAAAGTGATGCGTTTTTCTTAGCAACGAAATCGGAGAAAAATGCATACCTTTGTTCTGGAAACAAGAATGCATTGTAAGTTTGTAACAAGGGAAAACAAGGTTACTAACGTAAAACAAACAAGAGTTGACATGCGCACACGAAAACAAACTCTACTTCAGCAGAGACTAAAAAAAACAAACTTCAACCCTAGTTCAATCTTCTTCTTCTAGATTCGCGCGCATCTCGACTGTCCAAATCCAAATTCCTCGAAAGAAGGCTTCTTCTTCTAACAGAAGAAGACGAAGAAGACGGGGCGGCGGCGGCACCACCATTGCTATCAGGGGTTGAATTCGGAGCCTCGTTATTCGTTTGCACGGCTCTAGCAGAAGGATTATTTATGACATCGGCTAAGAAAGCCCGCGTCTCGTTTTGCAACAGCCTGTTGTTAATAACCGTTTCGAGATCTTCAACCAATCTTTCAGCATTACTCAGAGCCGACGAGAGTGAGGAGAGAGAAGCGGCACTTTCCGATAATACCCTCGAAACTTGATGCATCCTTATTCGTGGGCCCCCACTAGTTTCTGAATTCGGCTGCGTTCGATTGCCAGTTGCGCCGATACTAATTCTGATTCGCCTAAGTGCTTCCGCGACGGGAACATGAGATAAGCCCTGCGCAATACGCTGCTGCCTAACGCTCTCGACTCTACGAGCTTTTGGCCTCGGTGGAATCTTCAAGCCGGATTCCGTTTCGCACACAGCGCTTTCGTGGGCCCCACCGTTTCCGTAAATGGGAATCACGGTTGAGTCCGAAACCTCTCCCTTACAAACGGGGCATTCTTTAGAAGGATTCGAAGCCGTCGACGAATCGATTTTCGACACCTGGAAAAAACACGGCCAACAGAATAAATGACCGCAGCAAGTTAACACGGGCTCGTTCGCCATCTCCAAACATATATTACAATCGTAAAAGCTCCCACTCTCTTTATCAAACTTCTTCTTAGCATCGGAATCTATCTCTAACGCTTGCGCCACCAAATGGGAACTATCTCTTTTACAACCTTTTCCCCTCTCGGTGGTTCTTTCTACAATAGCCAAAGTGTTACCGTTTTCGTTCGGGGCGGCACTCTGGCCGACATCAACCATTGTTTCAACGGGGGTATAACTAACTTCCGGCGAATTCCTCGATTGCCGCCACCTCTGCCGCTGCCTTGCACGAGCACTGACAGCCTCTAGCTGTCGAATCCTCTCCTCTATCCTACCGTGGGCCGTTTCCAACTCGTTCAATAACGACCCGTATCTTTCGACCCTACGCAAAGGTTGGTCGGTGGGTTCTTGGTTCAAATCAAGATCCATTAGGTTCACATCCATCAAATTATCATCATCCATCGAATTATCATCACCCATTGGATAAAAAACAAAATTGCAAGATCTCAAAATTACAAAAGCCCACTTCAGTTAAAGCTAGAAACTTTGAAAAAAATTTGAATACCCAGAGTGGGTTCGGAAACCGAGAATGAAGATTGAACCTTGAAATTAGCAAAATTAGGGATTTAGAAACCCTTAATTGAGAAACACAAAATTGGGTGAATGCATGTATACAAACATTTGGGGAACAAAATCAAAATCAAAATCAAAAGATTGAAATACTAGGGTTGTGAACCTGGGCGGAGGAGCGATGGATTTTTATCTCGTGTAGAGTGATTTTCCATTTGAGTCCTTTTCTCCTTCCGTTGGCTGATTTGATTTATGGCGTTCCTAATTATCGAGATACATTATCTAGAGAGAGAAAGAGGGAGGAATACATACAGCCTCGGAATCTGGATAATTCTTGAGAGAGAGAGAGAGAGAGAGAGAGAATGGGTACACCACTGGCATCTACCATGAGTCAATTTTGGCGCATTTCCAGAATCTGTGGTGTTGTATTAGGGCAAAGTAAATGAGTTATTATTTGCAAACCAGTTCCTTATACGCCGTCGTTTTCATGATCTGCAAAATGCCTCAATTTTGTTTCCCTCATTTCGTTAACAAATTATATGTCGGTTGAATTTTAGTAATAAATTAATTTCATATATTGCAATTTCACCCTTATTATTTCTAATATTTATTCTCTTGTCACCTCATATTTTCTCAAAGATTCTTTATATATGGGCTTTGGCTCTTCCTATTTCATTTTTTGGAGGTGAGAATTTAAGTTCATTATGAATTTTTGGGCTTTTGCAAGAGTTTTTTGGGGGTAATTTGAGTACATGTGCACGTGTCACCTTACAATTGGCTCTTCAAATTTATTAATATGAGTTTAAATATATTAAAATTTAATAGAAAATTGTACATAAACTCTAAAGGGTTAAGTACACTTTGCATCCCTGAGGTATAAAAAATTTGAATTTTACGTTATTAAATATGTTACCAATATTTTAAAATGTTGCATTTTTTCAATAATTATTTTTTTAACAATATAATGTAACTATTATTTTTATTATTCATTCCAATAGAAGAGGAAATTTTAAAAGTATTAAAATTACAAATACAAATTAAATAGTATCCAAGAGGGCAAGTGTTGCCGATGATATTTGATTTTAAAGGAGATAAATGTTAAATAAAGTATATTGTATAATGTATACCTATGATACCTAAAGGTGTAAAAGGTGTAAAGTTACTAAAGTATACTTAACAAATTCTTAACAACGAAATTCTTAATTTCAGTATGCAACTGTCGGTTATTTTTATTTATTTTATTATAATTATTATTTATTATTATTGTTTTTATTTTGTTTTGCTAACATTTTGACTAATCAATTATGCACATGACTCTATGATACCCAAGGGTGCGTTGACTATTTATTCAAGTTATTAGATTTAACTATTTTTATAAATGCATAGCATTGGGGAGTTAGATGTTACATCTCGTTATTTAGATTTTATGGATTTGAGCCGTAAATTTAATTAAATAACTATTTGATGGGGATCAGTTTGGCAAGTTTGGGCTAAACTCCTCATATTGGGCTTATTAAATAGTATAAGGATAAAATATACGGGCCGAAAGAAATTTATTGTGCCAACCAACCCAATACACGTCAAAGACGAGGTCTCTTTAGAAGCTTGCGGTTAACGAGCTCGCCAACCCATCCGAACATGCAATGGACAATTTAACGGGGCAGGTGGCAAGCTGAACGTGAGCCGTTAGAAGTAGAAGACTCGTAGATACTTTTCCTAAATAGATAAGATAAGTAAAAAATAAAATAAAGATAAAGTATGTAAATTAGTATTAATAATGGAGCAATCAAATGTAAATCTCGACCTAATTAAGACGATTTAAACTAGGAAGCGATTAGAGTGATCTTCCTATATAAAGTCTTGTGATGAGTCTGATTAAGGACACGATTTAACATCAATAAAAATACTTTTATACTATCTTCCAAGCGCTCTCTCTCTTTATATTTATATTTTCCGCTCGTCGAATTCATCTTCTCCGACGAAGAATCGGTGTTCGATGGATTTTCCGGTGGTCAAGGGAGTTGGGCTTGGAAGGAGGGTCTTGAGAGTATGGATCCTACACCATCACTACTCACTAAACATACATATACATGAAAGTGTGTGATTATTTATAGATATACGGTTCAAATTCACTAGATGTAAATAATCAGATGTACCGTCTAATTCCCTGATCTTACTCCCGATCACAAGTCGCATAATAAAAAGTCAACATTCATCAACCAAACAAAGAAAAAACAAATTATTCTACACAAAATTAAATATTGAAATCAAGAGAGACTTAATAAATGCAAGTCAACTCACACCAATTGCACGTCATGATCATAATTCAGAATAGAGATTTGACAAATTCAACTCTCCCACTTTAGCCAATAATCTCACCTAGTTGGCACCCCACATACACACACACACGCACATTATTCAAACTTCAACTTGCTTAGCCTCGTTGACCAAATCCCACAACTTCTATATATACACTACTTTCTCCAACCCCTCATATTCATCATACATTATATTGAACCAAAAAAAAAAAAATCAATTTATCAAAAATGGAGTACAAACATTTTAGCCACAGTCACGGCCTGGTGTTCCACCAGGCCGCTCCGGGATCAGAAATCCATTGTTCGGGGTGCAAATCTCCAGGATCGGGCAACGTTTACGCGTGCTGGAGGTGCAACTACTTTTTGCACGAGCAGTGTTTTAGAGCCTCGCGGTCGTTCAATCACCCGTCTCACCCCCAACATCCTTTGACTTTGGTGTCGTATCCAACTCATACATCGGCTGCGTTTTTCTGCAATTCTTGCAACCACGGTGGGAGCGGATTCTGCTATTGTTGTTCGGAGTGCGATTTTGATGTGCACATTCATTGTGCTCATATGACATGTGCGCCAAACGCGGCACGTGCCACCAGTGTTCCTCTCGACCCTAATTTGTCCAACCCTAACCCTAACCCTAACCCTAACCCTAATCCTGCACATAATTTTCAGTCTCATAATCAAATATATCCTCCTCCCGTGGCACATAACCCCTTTCCCAAATTATGTGCCCTACTAATGAAATAGCTATTTTTTTCGTTTGATTCGAGCTTCGTTTGTGATATTTTCACTTTGATGTGTGTGTTTTTCATTCTTGGAAGAACTTTTTTTTTGTTAATTATTGGTACTTCAATTGGCTGTAAATCAGTCGTTTTAATGAAGTTATTTCACATCAAGATATTTGTATGATTGTATCATTACCATATGTTTAGCTTCATAATGTTAGCCATATCAAACATAATAATCCAGTGCATCTCTCTCTCTCTCTCTCTCTCTCTCTCTCTCTCTCTCTCTCTCTCACACACTCACAAACACAAACAATATCATACCCAAACAGCATTACACAAAGCCTTTATCTCAAATCGTAAAAGCTTACCTTAATTGAACTCACCTCTCCATACACACGACTGCCTGATATCATGTCAAAACTACCCACATGAAATTTTC